TGCTGATGCCCTACCACTGAGCTACAACACCCCTTTGCTCTCTTGACTGATTTTTCTTTTTTGGATCTATAGTAAGGTTTCAGGGTTCCAAATTCACAAGATCCAAGAAAGTTGAGAGCAAAAAGTCTTTTACTCCCTGTACTTCCCTTCCTAGGAGGGATCCTGACAATTGGCTCCTTGTGGTTCTTCAGGAGAGATTTTTGTCTGTCTCTCTAGCTACCTCCTAACTGCTGCCCACTTTCCTACCCTCAATCTGTAGCATGAGTTATGCTCAAGCTATGGCCTACTTGAACATATATGGTAATAATGCATCTAAGATGTGTGTGTGTGTGTGTGTGTGTGTGTGTGTGTGTACATGACACAGCATGCTTGTGCCAAAGTCAGAATTGCTTGTGGGGGTTGGTTTCTCCATGTGGATCCTAGGGATGACCGTAGCTCATAGGATTCCCAGCAAGTGACTTTATACACTGAACCATCTCTTGGCTATAAATCTTATCAAACACAATCCAGTTCACTTGTTACTCACAGAATAAAGAGAAGTGATAAGGAGATATAGTCCACAAAGCCTAAAACATTTACCTTAAAAGAAATTTTTACTGGGATTCATTATGGGATTCACATTTTCAGAAAGTGAGAAGTGTTGGCGCTTGCTGTTACAGAGGCTGTGAGTTCATATGAGCAACAGCGCTGTCATGTCCAGAAAACAGTTTTGCATTTCCTCTGTCTCTTGACACCTTTCCATTTCCTGCTTTGTATGATTCCTGAGCCTTGAGAGGAAGTACGTAGTGTAGATGTCTCATGTTCTGAAGCTGAGCACCCAGTCTCTTTTGCTGTCTGTATGGACCAGTTGTGAGTCTTGGTTTTAATCACCATCTCCTTAAAAGGAAGCTGAGGATTCAGAGGTGCACTAGTCTGTGGGTATAATGTTCAGAACATAGGAAGAAGTTTAATTCTAGTAGACTAGTGGTAGTAGGCTCTCCCCCTGGGCCCATGACCTACTTAGCTACAGGAATCTTGACCCAGTTAACAGGACTAGACATGAATTTCATCTTGTGGACCAGACCTTTAATGCAAGTAGAAAGCGGTGGTTGCTCTCTGTCTTAGGTTTCTATTGCTCTGATAAAACACCATGGCTGAAAGCAACTTGGGGACAAAAGGGTTTATTTGGCTACGAACCCGAGGTCACAGTCCACTGAGGGATGCCGAGGCAGGAGTCTGCAGACAGGAACTTGAGGTGGGAACTGAAGCCCTGGAGGAGCACTGCTATTGGCTTGCTTAGCCTGCTTTTTTATGTACCCCAGAGCCACCTGCCAAGGGTGTCTTCTCACAGGACTCACACCAACCTCTAGCCAAGAAAATGCCCTTATAGGACAATTTTATGGGGGAGACTCCTTAATTGAGATTACCCTTTCCCACATAGGTCTGGGTTGAGAAAAAGTTGACAAAAAGTAACAAGCACACTCCCATAATATTCATGCCACCATCATGCTAGCTGCACTTGGCTGTCTTGCCAGGCCAGTCCCAAAGGTTCACAGCCATAGAAAGCTTTTGACTGCTTTTCTTCCCTGGTAATATGCATAGAGCTCTCTAGCACAATGGAGGCTAGCCAGTAGGGATGAAGTTTCCAGCTTGATACCACTTGATTGGAAAGCTTTTGACTGCTTTTCTTCCCTGGTAATATGCATAGAGCTCCATGGAGGCTAGCCAGTAGGGATGAAGTTTCCAGCTTGATACCACTTGATTTCTTCATATTCTATGACTCAAGTATGCGTTGTCTTAAGCAATAAGTTATTGCCATCAAATTCTGGAGGGTAACCAGGAGCAGTGGCAATAGCCTGTAATGTTTAGGGAGGAAGTCTATGGGATCCCACTGACCAACAACCAGAGAAGAGGCACTTTGTATCTGGGCTTTTATTTGATAG